GGGCCGGGATTGGCGGGAGCCGCGTGCAGAAGCCCTGTGCACCGACACCCGGACTGGGCTCGGCGAGCCGCGTGCAGAAGCCCTGTGCACCGACGCCCGGGCTGGGCTCGGCGAGCCGCGTGCAGAAGCGCCGCGCACCCCTCCCCGAGTCAAGATGGCGGCGGCGCGCCCTGCCTCGCGCAGAGATGCTGCGGCCCGCGCGCACCGCTGTCTGGGGCGTCGTGAGCAGCGCGGCTGTGCCAGACGCAGGAACTCCGCCCCGCCCCCCGCAGAGGGGAGGCCCATGAAGCAGCCCCGCCCAGGGCCTTTCGGGAGAGCCTGTGCTCCTGACCTCCAGCTCTGAAGTTCCTTTGCTTCTGGCTCCAAGGACTCCAGGCAAAAGGGTCCTTGTTGGGGACTGACTTGGGAGCGTCGCTGACATCACTGGTGATGTTAACTTTCATTTATCATTTGTTATTTATCATTCATTAGGGTGCTGTCTTAATTTTTTCATGTAGAGGTTACTAGTTTTTCCATGTAAAGGTTACTAGGTGTAATTATTACGTATTTGTGGAGAGATACTCTACGTAAATATTCTATAACTTATACTTTTAGCCCACTGGTTCTAGCATCTATTGATTCTTTCCTGAATCACATGTTAAGTTACCAAAGATGTTTTAAATTCTATCAATCTTTCTTCATTTATTGAGATTCTACTATGAGAAAAAGCTTTGCCTTCATTATTTATTCATGCATGGATTTATTTATCTATTTCAAACAACATGGGCTCATGGTTTCTTATTTTACTCGATAGGCTATAATCCATTACTATTATTTATTTAGATGTTCAAATTGTCCAAGATTTGGACAGTGAGAGCCACTTCAAGCTGACTCCCATGTCATTTTGACACGTGCTCTTCCTTCTTTGAACATCTTGATGAGGTATATTCCCTCTATAACTATACCCAGCTTTTTGAGTTTTTTTTAATCATGAAAGGATGTTGAATTTTGTCAAATGATTTTTCTGCATGTATCGAGATGATCATATAATTTTTATCCTTCAATTTGTAAGGTGGTATATCATGTTGACTGATTTGCAGATATTGAACCATACTTGCATCCCTGGAGTAAATCCCACTTAATCATTGTGTATGCTCCTTTTAATGTATTGAATTTGGTTTGCTAATATTTGTTGAGGATTTTTGCACCTATGTTCATTAAGGATACTGGCCTGCCATTTTCATTCTTTATCAAATATACTTCCCCCCTCCCCCTCCCCTTTCTGGGGATTCCTATTCACATGTTGCTGTGTTTGACAGTAGTGTCCAGTAGGTCTCTTAAGCTCTGTTCATTTTTCTTCATTCTTTTCTTTTTCTGTTCTTCAGTCTGAATAATCTCAATCGGCCAAATTTGTTGTTGCAAATTTTGCTGAACTACGGATGTTGTTTCATACCCTTATTCATTGAACAGCTATTTCTTCTACTTGTAATGCTATTCTCTGCCTTAGCAAACCTCTGAAGCAATCTTAGCTTAGAAATAATGAAAATATAAAAAGCCCCCAGAGGCTGTTTCTTGTTTCCTCCTCTGTTCCTACAGCACTCTGTATATTCTATTACAACCTCTACCACTTCAATTTTTTCATCATTTACTAACACTTGTGACCTTGGACAAGTTACCACCTCTTTGAGACCTTGATTTCCTCATCTGTAAAATGAGGATCTGTAAAGTATAACATATAGGTCACAGAGATGTGGTAATACATGAGGGCTTGGCACATTAGATTTATTCAAATGTTAGATATAACTATTATTGCTAGTAATACCGCACTACCACTACTCATCTATGTGGGTCTATTAAACAGTGAGCTCTGAAGTTTTATTTTTGCACCACTAGCACCTAATGCATCATGAAAATTCAGTGTTGGAAGGAATTGACCTACATTCTATAATATGCAAGGAATATGGTCATTTGTTATCATTCCTCAGGTTAAAATTATTTGTTTTCTAGTGCCTTCAGCTACTTCTTTTTATTATTTAATATGAAATTTCTAATTTCCTTAGAACATGCTTTTTGTAGCAATTTAAACTTAAAAGTTTGTTATTTATTTATAAGTGAGAGGCAATTTCCTTTTACTTAATATATTTCAATAGACTTATCTAAGTAAGCCACTGTGATAGTTAAGTATATTATATGTCAACTTGACTGAGCCACGAAGCCTAGATATGTGGTCTGACATCTTTCTAGATGCTTCTGTGAGTGTTTTTGGATGAGACTAACATTTAGATCTGTGGACTCTGAGTAAAGCAGATTTCCCTCCAGAGTGTGGGTGGGCCTATGCATGCAATTAGTTGAAGCCCTGGATAAAACAGAAGACTGAGAAGTTCCCTGAGCAATAGAAATCTCTGCAGCAGACAGCTTTTGGACTTGAACTGTGACATCATCTCTTCTTTGGGTCTACAGCCTGCCAGTCTACTCTGTAGATTCTGGACATGTCAGCCTCCATATTCATATAATGCAATTCCTTAGAATAAACTTCTCTTTTCTCACTCTCTCTAGAGTAATACACTCACTTAACATACACACAAAATTAAGTTATAGACCAGGCTATAATCATTTAAAGGAAATGTCTTTATTTGAAAAGTTTAGAATTGAAAATATATATTATATATGTGTGTGTATGTGTATATATACAAAAATTAGATGTTCTAGGGAATTAAGAATCCCTAGAAAGTTTCTCTTATCTTCTTTTATTCCCTTTGATAACATCCTATCATCTATACAGAGTAAGAAAATAAAGGGGGGTAAATTATAGCAGTTTTATTTAAAATCTCAAAATTATTTTTTCATGTAATTGAGACATGAAATTTAAATCATGTATATGAACACAGAGATGAACATATGTGCTTTAAACACTGACAAAATCCAGTTATAATATATTTTTAAACCAAGTTTTCTATTTTTACAACACAGTGAAAAACTACGTTCATAAAAATGTATACTGGAAAATATAATAGTTAACGTGTTCTCTTTTCAAATATATGACTCTGACGGTAATGTGTTAATATCACTTTAAAAATCTATATACAAGGCAACAAATAGATTTATAATAATACTTTCCTTAGTAGTTTATTCACGGTGATTCATAGAAACTCCATGAAGGGTCATCATGTAAGGAACTCTCCTGGTTAGAATCACAGATTTTGAATGTTTGATCAAAGGAACATGAAAATGCCAGTTCCTGGCACAATGAGTAGAAAGCAATAAGCTACAAGATGGCATACTTCAGATAAAGACAATTCAGTTCTGGAACAACCTTTTGGGCAAGTGATACCTTACTCTCATTAAAGATAGATCGTTACTGCTGAGGGCACTGGGTCTCTGGAGTTGATTTGGAAGACACGTACAGAATAGGGTGTGATTTCTTACAGGTTTCTTTTTCCAATTTGCTTGTAGTTTCACTCCCTTCTTTAACTTCTGTTTGAAGCCTTGATTCAGCAGCTAACCTACAGGCATTAAAGCATCCACTCTGAATTCAAATGTGGTTAAGAAAAACTAAAGAAACAATCCACTAGGATAATGGTCCTGTTGACGACACATGGTGAGTTTTTTCTTAGGTAACAAGGAAAATAATTACAGTTGACTCCAATACCATTAAAAAAACTAAGACACTGCCTCACCAAAAGAACCTTTTTATATCAATAGACTTTAATTTTTTCAAATGTCAAAAGAAGTATCTTTAAGGTTGATGAACAGTCATGGAAAAGCCTAAATTAAAGAAAGTACACTGAGGGTGCCTTTTGTGATAAGCACACCTAACAAAAAAATTTGAATGCTAGAGAACTGTTTTAATGTTAACATGACATACAAAAGGCAAATGCGGATAAAATTTAACAAAGAATCCTGGGCTGCATGAATAGATGTCTATTTGTCTCATAAAAAGAACTCAAATTGATTTTCAACTAGCAAAATAATAACAAGAAAAAATGAACAGTGAAGAGATAGTTTAAAGAGCCTATAAAAATGTTTTATAGCAAAAGCATAAATTAAGTTTATAAAGCATGCAATAGTGAAGTTCCCAATAAAACCCGTATTTATTATTACAATATTATCATGAGATTGTGTGTCTAAATTAATCATGCAGAGAGCAAAAGGTTGGAAAGTTAGCAGATGGACTCACACACACACAAAAACAAACATTTTGTGGTATTTTATTTGTTTTTGTTATCTAGCAAGACAAAAAAATTCCAATGTGCTACTTGAGTTAAACAAGTAGCTAAATACATTTAGTTGAGTAATTTTTATCAAGGAAAAAAACGGCAGAAAAAGAGATGAAGACAACACAGATAGCAAAGTTTGCACTGATCAATTCTGGAAATCCACCTCCAGAAATATACAATGGTCAAGCACACTTACACAATGGGTCACATATATACAAGCAAAACCTGCTGAATTCAATTCAGAACTATTTGAAAAGTGTGTGTGTGTGTGTGTGTGTGTAAGAGACAGAGAGAAGGAGAGAAAGATATTATTCATTTAAAGTTACTTTTTTCCTTGAGAATGTCAAGCTTTTACTTTATGTGACTTATAGGTTATAATGTTATATACAAAAATTCAAGGGATGGAAAAATAATTGACTTCTGTTAATAATAGCTGTTAACATTGTTGAATACTACATTTAGTACCACTGAAGACTTGAAAAGAAATCACATAAAACATACGAGAAAGCCCTTTTACATAAGGTGATTATGTCTTACTATTTCAATTAAAATGAAATAGTAGTAAAATGTCTTATTCTGTACCCTGCCATCTAAGACTGATGTAGCACCTTGAACATCTCCTTTCGTAGCAGACAATATAAGCTAACTATTTTCACATCAATATGCTTAATTTTTCCCATGTCTACTTATTTTAATTACATCTGTCATTCTGTTGCATAAAGATATCCTTCATCTTTTTTGTACCTTCTCCATTTTCCTCATTCACTTCTTTTTTGCTCACTCTTGGTCCTGCTATACACATCAAGAACTTGTTTCTAATTCCAGCCTAACCTCAGCCACTGGACCTACTTTTCCCTTCCACTCACTTTCTCTTACCTTCTGGCCTCTATTATTTTAATTTTTAAGGGATAAGGCCCTTATAACATTAATTCTTACAGACATACAGTCTGACACTTCCTCTTTCAGTCACAAACTTAAATATGCAGAAAACTAGAGGCTTTGAAGTTTGGGTATAAATGGAAAATGAATTACCTTTGATATTTAAAAATGTCAAAATAGATACTAAATCCCATTCTTGAAGGCTTAGGATAAACAATTTCAAAGCCATAAAAAAAATCACACCTAACAAGTTTTCTGGAAGGCTGAAATTTCTTAGATTAATGTAAAGCCCTTTTAGGAGCTACGTTAACTTTCCTCTCAAGGCCCCTCCTGAACCAGGAAAAAAATAACGGTACATTTAATTCAAACCAACAAAACATTCAGAGATATTATAGACTGTGGTATTTCTGCCTCATGACACAGAAAAGTGTTCCTTTTAAAAATAATTCCCTTATTCAGGCATCCTTTCCCCTTGCAGTCATTTTAGTCTTTCTTAAAGTTTTAGAAAATCGGAAGGTAGGCATATGAAATTGGGGAATTATACTGCATGCAATACTGAGAAAATAGATACAGAAACAGATAGCACAGTTCATGCAGCGATAGAGAAGAGATGGAGAGGTCTGCTCGTTGCCTGGGAGGAAAGAGGACACTGACCTGGGAGAGTTCGGGGTGTTTCCACTTCTTTCACTTAAGATTTCCAAGTCAGCTGGAACTTCTATAAGTTTCACACATTTCTTTTCCTTCCTTGGCTGAATATCCACAGGCAGATTCTTGTGAGGAGAGAGAATGACTCCTGCTGTGTTTACAGAAACTGTCTTTTCTAACTGCAAGTTGTTATCTTCTAAATTGCTAGGACAGGAGTGTGCCTCCTCCTTCTGAGGTGGTAATCTATAAACTTCTCCAGTGGCACTGTTGGCACACGCATCGGTAGGGGTGGCTGTATCTACAGGCAGTACCTCACGCCTCTTTTTGAGTACAGGCACTTCAATTTTCTCTGAGAATAAAAACAATTAAAAATATATCTAGTAAATAAATCAAAGACATAACATAAGGTACAAGTAAATATATATTCTTCTTGCCTTTTTTCCATTTCCATTCCCTTGAAACCCACTCATCTCCTTACTGAATTATATTGTCTTCAATCCTTCCTCTTTCATGGACTCTATTAATTAACTGTATCTTTTCCAGTCTATCTGGCTATAAAAATTTCTTTGGGAATTCAACATATTTGGCTCTAAGAATGAATACTTAAATGTTCTGTTCCAGTGCTTTATAAAGTTGCATGGGGCTTCATAAGATCTCAGCATGGAAATGAGGAAGGATACAGTGGCTAAGAGTCAAGGATTCCAGGTACAAATCCTAGTGCTAATAACAAACACTCTGCAGCTGGGTGACCCTGGGAAAGTACTTAACTTCTGAGTTTTGTTTTCTTTCTTTTTTTAAAATCTTGAATATTAATAGTCATCATTTATTGAGCAACTACTAAGTGCAAAGCACTGTGTTAATTACTGTATGCATTCACATTTAATCTAAGAATGAGCAAAGTATGAGCTTTGTTTTCTTATCTGTAAGATGGGGATTAAAAGCACCCATCTAGTGAAGACTCAATATTGTGGGCTATAAGGAGCAAATGAAAAGAGGCTGAATTTTCTGAATATGGTAATTTGTGCCTATTAGCCCCACCCACAAAATATATTCAAAATCTGAGTCCTTCTATCATGGATATCTCCCCCAGTTCAAACCTATTACGTCTCACTGCAGACTGCTGCAGTAGACTTCTGTCCTCACTGCCTAACATAACATCATTCCACCCCCCATGCAGGTCCACATACACAGTCACTGAATTAACCGTTCTAAAACCTTTCCCGAATCCCCATACCAATGTGTCTTTCATTTTCAAAATCAAAATATTAGTGAAGTTGGAGAAACCATGGCTGAATGTGGGACTGGTGTTCTTGCTCTACACTGCTGTTTTAAAATCATTATTTCCCGTCTCTTGCCCTGCTCCTTTGAAACCCACATCCTCCAGATTCACTGTACTTTCTCCTATTTGCTGTGTTCAGTTCAGCAGGCCTTTTAAATTCATAATGGATAATTCTTAATAGGACGGGCTATTAATCAGGGAAGAGAAAAAGGATGAGGAAAAGAGAAGCCCTTTTAAACTATTAAAAAAAAACCTTATTATTGCTGACAACCTTCCCACTACTGTTGAAAATCACTCCACAATCACTGAATAATGAAGAGAGAGAGAGGTTAACAGTGTAGGGGCAAAAACTGGCTGAAAATCTATAACCTAAAATATGTAACATGTTTTTTTTTTGTTCTAAGAATCATCAGATTCTTAAGTTCTTTTACTTCTGGCCTTTCATTTTTTAATTTACATACTGTAAAATCACTGTTTAAAAGTGTACATACTATGCAGAGCCTGTATGGTTAGGCAATTCTCTTGGTGATTAGACTTGACAGCTATCCTCTAGTATCTGTCCTGCTGTTGCTTAATAATAGGACCCCAAAGACTTAATAGTTGAGAACATGGGCCCTGAGAATCAAGACTGAATTTCTCTGCTTTTCCTGTGGGCAGGAAAGGCCAAGTGACTAAATTCTGCTCAAGGAGATACAGGTTGATGAACACTGCAAAAGAAGCTTAGATCCTGACACTGACCAGTCCTAGAATGCCTCCTCCAGGCTTTTTTCAGGGGGAGAAATAAATACCTATCTTGTTTAAGTCTCCATTATTTTTAGGTTTTCTACAAACATTAGTATTAACTAACATAGCTCCCAAACATTAGTTGCCTCAACAAAACTGAACTCTTCGGTATACATAAGATGCTGCATGCTTCAGTGGAGAAGTCTCAAATGGCAAGGTTCTCCTATAGACATCCAAAGAGTACCCATTGTATTCATGCACACCCAGGACGCAGTTCGCTTTGAATTTTCCTACACATTTTGTATCAATAAATTTGTTTTATTAAATATAGATACATAGCTGCAAATTAGTTTGTAATGTGATCTGCATAAAGCTGAACAACAATTAACAAAAAAGATCTCTTGGAGCTTCTCATGGTATAAAAGACAAAATACATGAGGCAGACATACCTTCAGGCTCATACTTCAGTTTTAACTCATCTAGTTTAGCTCTCAATTTCATATTTTCACTTTGGGAAAGCTGGAGGCACCTTTCATTTGCAAAAAGTTTTCGCTCAATATCCAGAGCCCGCTGGCTCTCAAATAATGCTTTCATTCTCTGGATGGACAATTCACCTTTAGTGCTTTCATTTTCTTTGCTATATTAATTTTTAAAAAAGGAATATTAAAATAATACATGAAATAAGTAAGTGTAGTTATTAGCGCACATTTTTTTATATTTGAACTCAGTAAAATACACTTCCTTGGAATTTTTAGTAATAAAGAAACACTAAACATAATATAAGTTTTAACAATAGCAGTTTCAAATAAAAAATATCATGCACTCTTCAAAGGAAACTGACAAATGGAGGAAACATTCTTTCCACATTTATGCATGCATAAATAAATTCCTTTGAATTTTAAATTACGTGTTATTTATTCTTGACAAACTTATTAGATTGTAAGAACATACTAAAGTTCTTTTCACTTACCAATGTAAAAAGCTAAACACAAAGAATTAAAACATTTAATTATTCACTGCAAGTATTTTTCTTCAATAACCAGCACTAATTATATCTTGAATAAAACTCATTTGCTGCACAGAGGTATTTTTGCTGCCTTCTATTCTACAATTTTCTTTTGGCAATTTTAAACCAAAATTTGGCATTTTTAAATTTGTAGTCACTACTACTACTTACTAGACGCAAGTCAAAAGAGCCTCCATCTTCCCAGGCACCTAACACTTACTTTAAGTTGTCAAGCTTTATCTGAAGTAAATCTGTGTAATAGGTGTCATCTTCCAGAGCACCAGAGTTGGCTGAAGGCTTAGATTCCATACTTTCATATAAACTCTAAAGAGAACAACAATTCTTATTAGTTAAAATAAATAACAAATTAGGTGAGTGTTAAGGTTTATTAATAATATCAGCTACCACTTACTGAATGCTTATCATCTAGCAGGCACTGTCTAAGCCCTAGCCACTTAACTCATTTACCTTCTAAAGTAGGTACGAGAATGAGCATCCCTCTCTTACACAGGGGAACTGGCTCGAGGTGCTGCAGGCAAGTAAACTGAGAAGAGAGAATCTGAATGCAGATCTGTCTCCAAAGCCTATGCCTGTTACCACACCCAATCCCCTGGTTTCTCTCTCCTGGCTTTTAACATGGAAGAAATAAATACTCTGGGTTTAATTCTGGCCTTTATGACAAATCCATAAATTACAAAAATATGAAAAAGAGTGGAGATTCTTACAGTTATTTTTGGTGCCTAATCTTCTGAGATTCTGATGGAATCTCTATACAATTTCTCTAGGGGAAAAAAACGTAAATCTGCTTAGAAATGTGTAAACAATTTCAGAGGTTGCCATTCAAAGCCCCTAACTTAATGTCATAATTTTGAAAGTACAGTGCTGAGTCCACTGAGGAGCCAAATACACCTGCCAATTAATGCTTTACAAATTTAACCAAAACTGCAGTCTTTCCACAGTTCTTACAAGAGAAAGAAATAAAGTTACATAAACTTAAAATTTTATGATACATAAATGGCTACAATTTAGAATGCCTAAGAGGTTATTAACATTTAAAAAATTTGTCATTTGTAAACTTTAATTGGTTCTTTAGTTAGTGGGAAGATATCTGTGTTCCCTAAGTTAATTTATAAATTTAATACAATCCTAATAAAAATACCAACAAACTTTTTTTGGAGCTAGACAAGATGTTCATAGGGAAAAACAAACATGCAAGAATAACCAGGAAAATTCTGAGAAAGAGAAGCTATGGTGAGAGAATAGCCCTAATAGACAAAACATATGATAAAACCTCTAAAATGAAAAGTGTGGTACTGATGTGCAGATAAGCAGACCAACGGAATAGAATGAAAATCCAGAAATAGACTCAGGTGTAAATGGAAATTTGCTATATGATAAAGGTGTCATTTTAAAACACTGCAACCAAGATTGACTTTTTAATGTGATGCGGGGACAACTGGCTAGTTATTTGGAAAAGATAAAATTAGATTTCTACCTCACACTACACACAAGAATAAACTTCAGTAGAGATCAGGTCTCTAAATGTAAAAAGTGAAACCATACAAATACTAGTAGAAAACATGGGTTAATTTCTCTATACATACACACACACAAATAACTACACCTATGAAAACATGTTCAAACTCACTCATTATTACAGAAATATAAATTAAAACTACACTGAGATACCATTTCTCATCTATCAGACAGGCAAAAATTGTCGGAGACAACACACTCTATTGGTGAGGCTAAGGAGAAACGAGCACTAGGACACGCTGCCGGTGGGAATGCAAATTGGGACAAGATGTGTGGAGGAGTTTGGGAACGCCTAAGAAGACTACATATGCATTTACTTATAACCCAGCAACTGCACTGTAGGAATTATCCCTGATGATACCTCTACAACAATAAGAAAATGCATATATATGCAAAATGAGCTTTGTAGCACTGTGTATACTTGCAAAATACTGAAAATAATCTAAATACCCAGACACAGGACGAAGTATGAGAATGCACACGATGGAATTCCCTGTGCTGTTAATAAGTATTAGGACGACCTCTCTAAACTGAGAGGAAGTGATTTCCAGGTTAAAGTTAAATGAAAAAACGAAAATGTGAAAGAATATGTTATGCTTCATTTTGTCCAAAAAAAAAAAAAAGAGAGAGAGAAAATAAAGCTGCTCTTTTTGCAAAAAGAAACATGGCACAAGTAAACCAGAAAACAAGTGAAACTGGCTACTTAAAGAGGGAGGGGTGGAAACAGGGTAGAAGGAATGGGACACTTCTCTGAGTATACCTTCTTTATACTTCTGACTCTTAGCATCATGTTAATGTTTCACATGCTGAAAATAAGTAAATAAATAAATTCAACAAGGATGGATGGAGGGTAACAAAATGAAACAGAAACAAACCTAACTGCATTTCAGACCAATAATATACTTGTACCAAAGAGGGTAAGGGAAGAGGGGTAAAAAAACCCCGAGTAACTTTAGAACACAGCATTTTGACTATACACTCTTAGGCTAAAAAAAAAAAAAGCAAACACCCTGAACTTTAGTGAACAGGATAATTCCAGAACTGTATGTATTCTAACACTGAGTAAATAAGTAAATAAGTAAATATATTGAGGACGTTAAGAGCCACGTCTTCCACTGTTGGAAAAATGGGGTAGGCAATGAACCCTGTGATATTAGACTCAAAGTGGAGTTATCTGTATGAGATCAAAGTATTTTTATGTTTATGTGTATGGTTATGTGAATAAATATACTCACACAAACCTAAATACACACACAAAACACTCATAAGTATGTACACAACACATACATAAATATATTAAATATACACAGAAACACTCCTAGTTCTGTCTGCTGAGAGGGTCTAGAAGTGATGACGTTCCAGTAGAAATAAGCACATCTAGTGCCCAGGTCTTGGTTTCTAAGTGCCGTTCTCCACTTAAAGGAACCTGTGCTCCTTGGAGAAATGCTGATTCCAGGGCTGGGGCAGGTGAGCCAGGAATATATTGTGCCAGAGTAAGGAAGCACTCCTACTGGCCAAATCTGGGACAATCAGAGTAAATAAAGAAGTTATGGGCTATAATCCATAGGATAAAATAAGGATTCATGAGGCTGTACTTAAATAAATAAATGAATAAGTGGGAAGGAAAAGTTCTTCGTTTCAATCCCTTTATTATTCTTCTAAGAAATTACCATTTGGCAATCATCATAGTAATATCTGTTTCAGGCAAGAATCATCACTGGATGTTCACGTATAAGGAGAAATAGACATATACTTGGTCTAAGTACCTCCCCATAAGATACTAATTAATTACAAAAAGAAAAATCATAACTGTGCAGTGGAGAAACCTGGGAGGCATAACCATAACCAAGCAATCGAGGTTAGTATCACCATTAATAGCACAAATGGACATCATGTGCCACTTGGTGTGACACACTGAGAATATAGTAATACTCCTATAGCATTCCTGTCAAAAATACTTAGTGTGAATCTCATCACATCACACACACCCAAAATGAGAGACAATCTACAAAGTAACTGGCTGTACTCTTCAAAAATGTCAAGGTCATAAAAGATAAAGGCTGAGGAATTGTTCCAGAATAAGGGAGACTAAGAAGACTTGACAATTAAATACAACATATGATCACTGACTGGACCTGAGAAAGGAAAGCATTTGGGGTAGTTCTGCTTTGCAAAAAGGACATTGGTGGTGATTGTTTAGTAAAGTAAAAGAGAGCTTAGCTAATACTATGTATCAGTGTTAATTTCTTGATTTTGATCATTGCACTGTGGTTACATAAAAAACTGAACTTCAACAGAGATACAACCTGAGGATAAAGGATATCTGGTTTGCAACTTACTCTGTTTAAGATAAAAATGTACACACGTGGCAGAGTGAGAGAAAATAATAAAGCAAATGTGAAGATGACAGTTGGGGAATCTGGATGAAGGACATACAGAAATAATTTTACAACTTTTCTGGGAGTTTGAATTTATTTTACAAAAATTTTAACTAGTTTATTAAACACTTCTATGAATCCCAGTTGCCACACAACACTGAACAATGTGACAAAAATGTTACTGTGCATCCATTAAACAATGGAGGTGGAGAGCCCTGAAAAATAATCAACTACTTGTAACACACAACAGAAGGAACAGATCTCATTGACGTAATGTTGAATGGAAGACAGAAACAAAAGAGTACATGTAATGAATGATTCCATTTATATAAAGTTCAAGAGTATTGTACATGTAAAACTGATACAAAGTTTGAAGGTGGGAGTACTCACTTAAAAGGGACATGGCAGAGCTTTTCTGGAGTGCCAGAAGTACTCCGTATCTTGAGCTGGGTGGAAATTATGTATGTACAACTCACTGAGTTGTACACTAAAGATATGGGCACTCAGTTAAAATTTACAACGACAAATGTGGGGGGACCTATCTGTTAAAAAGAGCAACAGTCTAAAACACTGAAAAGCAGAAAGAAACTGGAAGAAAAAAATTAATTTAAATACTGGTAAATCTCAATGGAAACAATAAGTTAATTAGATAATAAAGAAACATATTCAAGTTAAAAGTATGAAGATATTCAAACCAAAATTTGGCCGCCTTTCTTCAAAGTGTTTACACATACCTTAAATTTCTCCAGATTCCTAATTTCACCTAAAAGATGTTTAATTTCACCATTCTTCTGCTCCAACATGGCAAGCAACCGTTCCTGTTGTTCAAATTCAGTTTGAGACCCTTTCATTTGTAGTAGTGTGGCAATTTGTAACTAGAAAAAAAAAATCCCTCCCCCAGAAAATTGAGTGGGGGAGAGGAAGATTCTGATAACCATATTTTTGATACAATTCATATTTCGTACTATATTACTTTGACCTCATTTTAGAAGCTAATTAGCTATTTCGAGTCTAATAATCTAATAATTTGAAAACATTTCTATCAATAAATCTAGTTATAGACATAACTTTTTAGTACTTATTTTGACTAACTATGAGTGGTATCTGAAGTCCATAGCAATTACTTGTACTCCTGTGAAACATAACTGAACTGAGCCGCTGTGGTCTGGAAGCACATCACTTTCGTGGTAAAGAAACCACTAAATGAAATGGTCTGGCCGAATGCTGTACTTGACTCATCATGTGCACTCTCATTAGGGGTCTGAGGGGGTTTCTCAAAAGGTAATTAACTCCATTAGTACTAAGTGGGGGAAATTATTAAGCTACTCACATTCACAAATATGAGATTCACAAAGGACAAGGATGGAAAGCAAAAGTTAAACAAGGCAATCTAAGAATACTGAGGCAAACATCAATGTAAGTATAAATTTATTTTTTAAGAATAGCAAACAACTTACCTAATTATAACTCCACCTAAACTTGGAGTTGGACAGCCATCAGCAGGAAATTAACTAAAATCTAAACCTTAGCATTCCTTTCTGCCCTTGGAAATTTCTGGAGTTCCGAAAACTGTCAATTAGCTTAAACACATGAGTAAAGCAAGCAATGACAGGAGGTTGCAGGTATGGTTACAAGGAAGAGAGAAAGGTGATTTTTAACACTTTGAAGATCCACTTTTTGTTCTTACTTCAAACTGGAGGCCAGACACATTCAGCCTAAGATTCAGAACACTACTTGCGTCTTAACGACAGTCTGGGATATCATGGGAACGTTGAGAGATTAGTAACAGTAGCCCAACAAATACAAAAAGAAAACAATGAGCAAATGTGAGAACATTTACAAAGAAATCACTCCCAGACAGGGGAGAGCCTCAGTAAACCAGATAGCAGAGTCTAAATCCTTAGAAGTAAAAGCTACAGCTACTGTTGAGTAAGCTGGCACTTCCTTATTTGGCAGGCACCATGTAAACACTTCACTACTCTAAGAGGTAGGTTCTATCGTCTCTGTTTCCCAGATGAGGTGACTGATGCTCTGAAAAGTAAAAATACTTGTCCCAGGTCACACAGCTAAAAAGTCACAGAACTAGGTTTCAATCCCAAGTTCATCTAATGCCAAAGTTTAATCACTGACCCCTTCCTATTTCCTTGGGAAATCTCATCATCCTGAATAAGAGGCAGGAAGCCTTCCAGACTTCTAGTTACCATCGTAGGAGAGTTAGGCGTAACAGATCTGGCATCCGGATTCTATGGGCTGGTACAATACTGAAATCCTTCTAACTTGCAGATGCTTTCCTGTTACCAGCTGTTTGACTAAAATGATGCCCAACAAACCTTTAAAATTAAAAGGGCTTATATGCTCGACTAGAGGAACTGCAAGGAAAGGAAATCCAAATTTCACTCTATAAATGAGCCTCTGTGGGAGAACTGAAGAATGGTGAGACAGCTAGTTTTAGTTGAAGTGGAAACCTTAGGGATAGTCTTAGAAAGAAACCAGGCCAACAGCAGGAAACCAAAACTTTAAATTCTTGTTTCTTCCCACTCCACAGAGAAAGATTTGTATCTCTCTGGCAAGGCTAGTAACAATTGAAAACTCAATCAATCAATGGATGCTAAGTACACTATTACTAAATTTATACAGGATTAATTTTTTAAATAAAACACAAAGGGATCTTTTACTCAATTTAAAAATATATTTTTCTAAAATCACAGAGTTCTAGAAATAATTATTTAAGTATATTCCTTGAAGGAAAAGATGCTTTCTTTGATATGGAATGCTGATACAAAATAGGTTTAATAAATCTTTGATCATAATAATTCTATACCTTCATTCTTTGCATCTGCTCCCTATTAAATGCATTTTGCTTCTTTAGTGACTGGTACTTGACTTTCATGCTGATAAGCTGACGTTCCATTGCTGCCCTTCGATCCTCCACCTAGAAAATATTAAATGTTTAATTATGCTTTTATTAAGCAAAATGCCAATTTAATCAATGGAATATTTGTAAGTACCTCTGCAAACAAGGAGTTGCCTTTACTGTTAGGGTCCAAGGCTTGCTGAAGTGCCTGGTCTAACTGCACCTGAAGATCCTGATTTGCTACACGAGCTTTCTAAATTCATAAGAACACAATTTAGCTAACAGAAGTTAGATTAGCAACAAAATTACCTATTATAAATTAGAAAATACGATCTTACTGTAATCATAATACCTCTAAGGCATTATAGTAAGAAACTGCTTCTTTCTCTCGCTCCTCTTTTTCTTCTTTAAGCCGGTCTACCTGGCGCATCAGATTAGTACTGAGAAGCTCTAGTTGTTCTTGTCTGTACTGTAGCTCATTCACTTCTTCTTGGAGGGTGGTCTATTCAACAGGAAATGAAAAAGAAAAAACTCTCTTGATTAATCCTTCATTTAGCAGTTGCTCAGTTTATCCATCAGCAGTGGTTATCACCCCAAACTAAACCTAAAGAATTAGTAAAAGGTTCGACGATACATAATAAAATAATAAAAATTACTAAATTTTCCAGCAGGGAATCAAATAAAAGGCTCTCGACACTGTCTTTCTTTTCTATGAATTTAAGGCTTTAGTTTTTAATTAACTTCAGCCTACACTGATAAAAACTACATCTATATATCAACTTCCATGGGACCAACTTTTTATATTGGACTTTTGTGATCCAACTAGGATCAGAATAAATGTCTCTAAATTCTTCCAAAGGTTTTATTAATCTAAAAGTAAAGTCTGCCTTACCTAATCATGTAATCTAAAGCCTTATTATATATGAAGTAATCCACCTCAAAACTCTGTAAAACATTTTCTAATTAGATCAAACTTAGGCTAAAAAATATTTCAGACTTAAAATTAGCGCATAAGGATTATTACAAAAATATGTAAAAAAAATACGAGGGAAAAAAAAAGGAAACCTGAGAACACACATGCCACAAAAATTACCTTCATACTTTCTACTTCAGTCAGCTCAATCTGAAGAGTGAGCATCTCTGAAGACATGCTTTCGTGTACACGTTCAGACATTATTCGCATTTCCTCCGATTTACAAGAGAGGAGTTCCTTTTGATGATCCACTTTGTGCTTCAGCTGCTTTTCACTAAGCCTAGCTTCATCTAATTCAGCTTTCAGTTTTTCTAACTAGAGTTAAAAAAAAAAAATCACAGTCTCATAAATCAAAAGGTAACGAAGGTCATCAGAACACAGATACAGTACAAATTGTTCTGGTACCTGCAGGATAACTATTTTGGAAGACAGTCAAGCTGAACAAAATTACTTAACTACTTTTCCTAAAATGTCATAGCTTCAAATCTTGGAAAACTAAGAATTGCATTATTAGGAAAAAACATAACCAGCTCAAACATAATTTCACTGATAACATTACTTAAAATGAGAGAACATTTAAAAAGAGAGTCAATTTAATGAGAAACTAATGAACAGTACAGGTGGTACAGGTATG